ATGAAAATCTTGAAAATTGACGGTCTAGATAATGTGCTGCAAGATGCACTATTTTCGGGATTCAAAAAGTTTTTTTTTTCATTTTCACAGATCTCGATGTCGAGATGATTGATTAGAGAGCTTTTTCAACATTAAAACAACGTTTCCGACAGATTTTTGAGGTGCATATGTGATTCTACAGTTTAAGGTTACAACCTTATATTAACATTTCCCATAAAAATATAAAAAAATTCTAATTGCACCCTTTAAGCACTTGAAAAAAGAAGTCTCAAGATTGTATAGTAGTAGTCCAATTTTTAGAGTGTGAGATCTAAGTGTTAGAAAAAAAATCTATAAGACAACTGTGAGACCAACTTTGTTCTATGGGGCAAAATGTTTGGCAGTCAATAAACAATATACCCATAAAATAAGTGTAGCGGAGATGAGGATGTTGAGAAGGATGAGTGACAAGACTAGAAGGGATAGAATTCAAAATGAATGCATTCAGTAAAATTTAGGTATGGCATCGATAGGCGATAAGATGAGAGAGAGTAGACAGCTGGGCGTGTGTAGCGCAAACCTAGTACAACAACTATTCCGAGGTGCGAGTTAATTCAGGTAAAAGGATAAAAATAGCAAGGGGTAGGCCCAAAAAGACATGATTGGAAGTAGCGAGAAAAGATAGGGAGGAACTTATGGCCTCACTTAGGGTATGACCCTTAATAGAGAAGAATAACAAGCCGGGATTCTTGTCGTCGACTTTAATTAGTTTGGAAATAACTTTGACGACAACGATGATGATGATTTAAGTGTTAGAAAATCCAAATTTCAATTATATTTTTTATTATTTTATTTTAAAAATATTTATCTAATGATTATAAAGTGGTTGTCTAAATTTTATATTGAAAATCTTACAAGGTGGTCATCTTACGGAGGGAATAGAAGTAAACCATGCTCCCTCGGGAGCATATTATATGTCCTCATATTAAAATGAATCATTTTGATCTTCATTTTCCTTCACGTGGAAACTAAGAAAACGTTGAGGATATTTTAGTAATTGATACTACATTCAGCACCTGCTAATTAGGTTTGGGAAAAGTTTATATAGAGCCTAAGGCTCTAAACAATCAATTTGAGCATCTTTCAAAAATTTCATTAGAAGAAATTGTTTTGATGCCCAAATATCTTCAAATTCATCATCTCGACATCAAGATGCCTGGATATAAGAAAAAATGGATTTCAAGTTTTGGAAATGGTGTATTTTGTAACGCATTTTTGGACCATCAATTTTTAAGATTTTCAAGTTTTCATAAATCTCTCAATCGACACTATTTTTGAAGCTTTAAAATTTATAAATAAAAATGAAAATATATTTTAAGACTATCAAAAAAATTTCTAATTTTCAAACCATATTTTTCAATGCATTTAAAGGTAGGTTCTAATTTGATTGTTTAGAGCCTAGGCTCTATACAAACCACAAGTTTAGGTGGCAACAACCAATGTTGCTTAAAGAGAACGCTCACATGTGAGAGGACAACTTTAAAAATCAATGGGTTTAAAAAAGGAGAAATTTCGAAACTATTCTTTCTTTGCCTTCACGCGATTCATTGGTGGACGTGCTTTTGAAGGATTTATTTATTGGATAATATAAAATATTGTAAAAGAGAATCGGAAATAATCATTAAACGTAACGTGCAACACTTTTTCTGATTTTGTCAGTGTGATAAATGAAAATTCCTTTCTTTTGTTTTTTTAAATAAGATAAAGGTTTTTATATTTTTTTTAAAAGATTTATGCTTTTTCACCATCTAACCGTCCAATTTTGATTAAGAGAATCACTCATCATTTGATCTTAGATCCGATGTCTCAAAGTATTTTATTTTTAGTTTTTTTTATACAAATTGTATGAATATGAAATTTGGTACGTGCCATCTTTTCATTGGGGTGTACCTATAAAAAATAGTAAAAATAAATTTTTGATAAAATATAATAACTAAAATACCCCTTAAAACTTTCAAAGGTATTTTGGTCATTTTATTTTATTGGAACTATTTTCTTTTATATTTTTCGCTAGTGCGAGTTTAATGGAGGATTGGCCGTCCAAAATTTGGTGTCAAAATAGTTTATAGAAAAAAAATTAAAAATAAAATAATGTAGAGATGTCATATTGTGATGGGGCAATCTTATCCCCCATTCAAAATTGATGGTTAGATAAGGGGAAATATATAAGTTTTATGTTGTAATCTTATCCCCCATTCAAAATGGATGGTTAGATAAGGGGAAATATATAAGTTTTATGTTGTAGGGAAAACATAGAAAGCTTGCCCTTTTAACAATACTCGAGTAGATCTCCAAACTTTAGATCAATATTTAAATTGCTTTGATGATAATACAAGTAGATTTCCATACGTTAGATCAATATTTTAAAGCCCAATGATCCGAATTGGGAACTGTCGATTCAAATCGGAAATCAGTTGGGATCGAACCAGTTCATGAAAAATATATGTTCCGGTATTGTCCTCCCTATAAAGCTCCTTTCACATATTTTTTTGTTTTCTTTAAGGTTTTTTTCTTTTTTTAGTTTCCAATTAAATTCCAATTCCATAAACTCTTATTTTATTTTTTAGTTTTAAATATTTTTCCGAATCACCAATTCAAACCGCCAATCTGACACAATGACCTACCATTTGGGTTTTAATGGTGGAAAGACTTCGGACCTAATTCTTGAACTTTAATGGCTTCAACCAGCTCTTTCATGGCCTAATTGGCAAAGGTGTGCCCTAAGGTATCAAACATCCATTTCAAGATGGATGTAAAAGGTGGTCCCTCCTAAAACATTATAATCTAGCCGTTCCAAATAAAAATTCAAAAAATTATCATTTTTTTAAATTTAAAATATTTTTCTACTTATTAATGTTCTTCAGAGTTATATATATCTAAAAAATGAAAAAGGTTTCTATATTTTCTCTACAACATAGAAGATCTATACTTCCCCTACCATCCAGCCGTCAAATTTTGATCAAGAGAGCCACTCACCGTTTGATTTTAGATCTGATGTCTCAGAATATTTTATTTTTAATTTTTTTAATACAAATTGTATGAATATGAAATTTGGTACGTGTCATCTTCTCATTGGGGCAATCTTAGCCTTCCATTCAGAATGGACGGTTGGATAATGGGGAAATATATAAGTTTCGGAAGCATAGAAACCTAAAAAATTAGGTCCAAAATCCATCTTAAAAATTAATCAAAACAAGGGCCGCATATCTGCATATAAGTCCCATGACTAAAAGAAACTTTGTCCATCTACTCAGGAAATTTCAAAAGATTACCCATTTGCCAAAAGGCCTGCCACCTCAAAACTTAGAAAATTGCTCCCTCTTCCCATAAATACCAGAGGTGGTTCTCCCCCTTGACACAGAGAGAGAGAGAGATGGAAATGGAAATGGAGAAAAGTAGAGTGTTGGTGGTGGGTGGCACAGGGTACATCGGCCGGAGAATTGTGAAGGCGAGCCTCGAAGCCGGCCACCCCACCTACGTTCTTCAGAGGGCAGAAATAGGGTTAGACATCGACAAGCTCCAAATGCTTTTATCTTTCAAGAAACAAGGAGCTCACCTTGTTGAGGCCTCATACAGTGATCACCAAAGCCTCGTCGAGGCCGTGAAACTCGCGGATGTGGTCATATCAGCCATTTCTGGAGCTCACATTCGAAGCCACCAAATTCTTCTCCAGCTTAAGCTGGTTGAGGCCATTAAAGAAGCAGGCAATGTTAAGGTAAGTAGAGTTCATCAAAACGACAATTTGGCCATTTTAGATTTGTGTACAATTTTTTCTTTTGTTTTTAGCTTCTGGAGTTGCTTTCAAGGTAAAGATCTGTTCCCATTGATCATGCTTGATTCTTAGGATTTGAGAGTTGGGATTTTGACTTTGGTTTTTGCTTGATCCATGGGATTTGGTAGAGGTTTCTTGGAGCAATGGTGGTTGACGGTATTTCTGGTTACTATACATTTTCTAGAGTAGGTTTCTTGCTTTTGGAAGTTATTTGACATGGAAAAGACATTTCCTTGGAAATGCATTCCAATGACTTTGGCACAAGGAAATTGCAGTTCTTTTGGGGCCTTGAATTTGATTTGATATATGACATGATAGAAACAAAATTCAAAATAGAAAAGTGTATATTACAAAATACGAAAGACGTAACTCTTTGATAAAATAATTGTGTCTTATTATTTACATGGTGGTTTTTTATTGTATATATAATAGTACTACAATAATGTAATATACATTTTCTTATCTTATTAGATACTATATATACTTTCTTATCTTATTACATTCCCCTTTCAAATTTCGAAAGGAAAAAGCAATATATCTTTCCTATATTGCAATATACACTTTTTTTATTTTGGATTTGGTTTCTTTTATAAATGAACGAATTTTTTGCTATTTTGTAACATACACTTTCTTATTTTGGATTATGTTTCTATTACGAGCGAATTTTTTTATCATAGAAATTTATGGTCCTAAGTATCTTTATGATTGACCGTCCATTCCTTGATTTCGATAGTGAACCATGAGAATAATCATATTTTTTTGTAGTCACATAGATCGAATTATAATTTCGATGATTTTTAAGCCACGGTCAAGGGAAGGGAGATATTCAATTGATTTCGAATTGATTCAGAACTAGTTTTATTCGTTTTTCAAACCAACTTAAAAATAGTTTTGGTATCTATCTTCAAACTGCCATATTATCAAGTGCCTGATCAACACACAAGGTTGTTTGGATCATTGTTTCTAGAGTGATTTACATACGGATCCTAAAATTTTAGGTAAAATATGAAATGCTCCACTTAGATGCGGAAATTATAAAAAAGGTCGGTGAACCTATTTTTTTCAAAATTATCTTTCGGTCAATCCAAATTTTGATTTTTTTGTTTGTTTTTTCATTAGTAGAGCAGTGCTTTAAAGTTTGCTTGGAGCACTGCCCTACTAACGAAAATACTAAAAAACAAAATCAAAATTCGGGTCAACTGAGTGGCAATTTCAAAAAAAAAGAAAAAAAAAAAGTGAGTTGATTAACTTTCTTTATAATTTCTACATATAAACGGAGCATTTCATATTTTACCCAAAATTTTAGGGTCCATAGGTAAATCACTCTTCTTTCTATTTATTAGAGAGCCCCCGCAATTATAAATAGTTTGAATTTAAAATCCCGCATAAATTTACTATTGATAGTTAAAAATATCAGGCCGAGTTAATCGGACTCGGCACGAGTAATACTCGGTCCGAGTGGCACTTTCTGATGCTGGTTGTGACACATGTCAAAGTTCATGAGCGGCCTTTTTCCTTAGGGAATCATATTTAAATCCCTTTGAAGCCTCTTTCTAGGAAGTTTTTGCTATCGTTTTTCAACGAAAAGGACATTGTGTCGTACCAAATTAGCTGAAATTTAAAATTTTTCGATAAGATTTGGTAAGTTTTTTCTATGAGATTTGTTCTTAATTGAAGATAAACACATTTGGTTCACGTGAAATTATTTTCAAAAAAACATTTTCGTATGAAAAAATTCTCTCATAAGATTAGGTGTAGGAATATTTTCATACAAATAGAACTTAGTGCATTTTTTCACACCAATTGGCAACTAATTGATAAAAAAATACTCTCACATTTGACAACATAAAAAAAAAATTTCATGTAAAAATGTTTTATAGAAAACGTTCAAGCGAACTAAATGTGAACGTGCCAATTTGAAGGTAATTTAGAGAACTAAACAATGAAATTTGAAGAAGTTTAAGCGGTGCTATGCAAGGCTAGTTCTACCCTAGCAGTATGTTCACTCAAACCCGATTGAATCGTGACTATATTCAATACTTCGAAGAGGATACCTTGCATGTTCAATAGACCTTACCATTTTTTTTGAAGAAAGCGAGCATGAATAGGATACTTTGGATTTTCAATAGAACTTATCATTTTTTTGTAATCGTTATGAGATTTTTCCTGCAAAAAAAATGGAATTTTTGTTAGTTCTTGAACAACAAACTAAGCCTTTGCTTTGCAGAAGTTCCTGCCATCCGAGTTCGGCATGGACCCGGCACGCATGGCCCATGGACTTGCGCCAGGTCGGATCACCTTTGACGAGAAGATGGTGGTCCGAAAGGCGATAGAGGAGGCCGGGATTCCGCGCACTTATGTCTCTGCCAATTGCTTTGCCGGATACTTTGCGGGCGGCTTGTGCCAAATTGGGCGGATCACACCTGCTCGAGACCGGGTCCTCATTTTAGGAGATGGTAACGCCAAAGGTACCGCTTTCTCCAGTACAACTGCCCACAATTTGAATTATAAGACAGATTAGTGTAGAAAAAACCAAACCGGAACGATTAACAGGACATGGGATCGGAAGCGGTTCAACTAGCTTAACAGGTAAACCGGTCGATTTAACTAGCAACCCGGCAAGTCCCGGGCAGTCAAAAAAGTGTTAAAGAAATATAAAAAAATACAAAAAAAATCTAATAAAATATGAAACGTATATTTAAAAAATGATTAAACAAAACACGTCCAATTGAATTTGAAAATTATCAAAAAAGATTAGAATTTAATGAATTGATTTGTGCTTAGGGTATTTTTGAAATTTTCTAAAAAATGATTAAACAAAACACATTTTCAAATCTTTGCCAAAGTGATAAAAAATAAAAATTTTAAAATAAAAAAATTAAAAATACATTCAAACAAAATCCCTTAAGTTTTTGGATTTTATGTAATTTTTTAATTTTTTTTAAAATACCCATCCAGCTCACCGAAATCAAAATCGACCAGTGGCCTGTTCCGATTTAACCGGGCTAACCGGGTGCATAGAATTTGAACCGCCTTCCTACACTTCAGATGAACACATATATTCACTCGGGGGGAGAGAGAGAGAGGCCATTGCAAGACTTTTGGGATATTAGAAAAGCTTGTTGCTTTGTGTATTATTGAAACAATAAAAAGAAAAAGAAGTGTATAAATCAAATCATTTGTTTTCTTATACAAGGTAGTCACAATCATTATTGATTATTAGATGTAAAATTGAGTGGTTAGAGATGTGTGATTGATTAAGCATAAAGTACAAAATAAAATTTCTCGAATATTGTAACACACTTCAATCCATCAAATTTTATATCCAATAACGGCAATTGACTGTTACCTCCTTGTACCAAAAATAAATAGTTTTATAGTATACAGTCCCAAAAGAAAAAAAAAAAAATCTTCGGATGTTTCAAGTCTAATCTACATGCCTAACTAACGTTCATTGTTCTCCATTCTTGGATTAAGGGTGTTACATGCACATGTACATTACGCATGTTGTTGATTATATAACTTGAGAATTATGATCAGTTTCCAATTTTATTTTCCAAGTGGAGGACTAATCGTGTATGGAGTAAACAGCTATATTTGTAGACGAAGATGATGTTGCTGCTTACACTATAAAAGCGATAGACGACCCTCGAACTCTAAACAAGACTGTTTATTTGAGACCCCAAGAAAACATCCTCTCTCAAAGGGAGTTGGTGGAGATATGGGAGAGCCTCATTGGTAAAACCCTTGAAAAGATACAGGTGCCTGAGGAAGAGTTTCTAGACTCCATGAAAGGTATGCCTCTTTGTGCACTCAAGGTTTTGTTAACATTTCATGATCTCTAATGTAAAAGGAACAATTAATGCCAAAATTTTATATAAGATTGACATCCTATATTATAGAATTAAGGTGCATCTAAAAAATCTATTGAAAATGGTTGGTTTTTTATATTGGAAACTATCTAATTGATCATCTTGATATCGAGATGTATGAAAATGGAAAAAAAAAAAATTTAAGTCCCAAAACTAGTACATCTTGCAACATATTATCTGGATCATCTATTTTCGAAATTTTCATGTGTTTATAAATTGCTTGATTTGAACCATTTATATAATTTAGAATTTTCAGATCATTCTAGGAATTTTCTACACTAGAATTGCATTTTCTGACAAAGTTTAGATGTACACCATACGTTGATCGTTAGGGTTGCAACCTTTTGCAAATCACACCCACAGTTAACAGGTTTAGAAAAGAAATAGGGCAATTGTTAGTAAATGGCAAGGGTAAAACATTGTTTATAGGTGATGTTATTTTTCACAGGTGAAGTTGCAATAATCATTCTTAGAGAGAGAGAGAGAGATTGAATGTTCAAGAGAGAGAAGAGAGAGGAGGGGGGGGGGGGGAAGAGTTTGTTTGATTACGAGTGTTTAATGCATGCAGGTAAGGATATTGGACAACAAGCAGGCATAGGACATTTGTACCATATTCTCTACGAAGGTTGTTTGACTAATTTTGAGATTGGAGAGGAAGGCGTGGAGGCATCTCAATTGTATCCAGATATCAATTACACCCGCATGACAGATTACCTCAAGCAATATCTCTAGTTTCACAAATACCTTCCTTCTTATCTCCCTATAAATTCAAAGCTGGAATGTTCATCAAGGTTAAGATTACCGTATTTGCATATTTTTTTGTGTCTGACAAATAAATATTGGATTCAGCTGTGTCGTACATATAATCTCTCTCTCTCAACATATATGTTCATGTTGTTATCGTATGGATATGTATTTTTTGATAAGATCAAGTATTTTTGTATGGATATCTATCTCTTATCGTATCATATGAATGTTAGGATATGGATATCTCGGGTTCATATTGATATATATTATTATGGATGCATAGGTATATCATTAAGTTAGTTTAGTGATAAGACGTCCTGTTATTTACCTCTATCTCCAAAAATCATATCATATTTATCTCATGTAATTGTATGATTGTCCTA